GCAGTTTTCAACAAAGTATCAACCAGACTTCATGCAATGCTGGTCTTTTTCTATACAAGCAGTTCTGGGGAAAAAATATTCCAAGCCCCTTCCAACCCCTGTTCAGGTAGCCTCTAGCTGGAAGTTTTTAACCAATAAATAAGTTTCTTGCAGGTGTCCATGCATGCCCCTTCCAACCAAGAGGTGAAATTGATCAGAACTTGCATGAATTCCTTTGGAGTTATGGCTGTATTGAACCAGCTACTCTGGTTCATATTAGATATATTTCTATCACATCTCTCCTGTATTCATCTCAATGTTTTAAAAATATTACCTGATCTTTTTAAAATGAAAACTGGCAACTGCAAAGGAATTCAGAATAGTTTGCTATGGACTACTTGTCCTAAAAACAGACAAGCAGCAGCTGATCTTATAGGCCACAGTAAAAATATTTTATTTAAACTTGCTTTTAAAGTGTGGCTAATATTGTTCTCACTGTGTTGTTAGAACACAAGAAGAAAGACCTCCAGGGGGCATGTATGGCTTGCCATTCTCACTTCGAAAACTGGCTGTCCAATGCACGCACAGAAGGGTCCAAAGAAGGAGATGAGGAAGGCTTGAGATCCAAAAATTTCACATCAAAAAGGATTTTTCAAGTATGAGAAACACTGGGATAATGTATACATGAGTTAGGTGTGCCAATTATTACCAGACATGTTATGTTAATTGCAGAACTAATTTCAGAAACACTGTGCCAACCAGGCTCTAAACACAGTGTATGAAAAATTCATTACACGTTTACTGCAGCTCCAAGTAGGAAGTATGGCTTAGACCACAGCAAAATGAATACATTTGCCTTCAAATTTTGTCAAAATTTACAAAATAGATCTGTTCCCCCGAAGTTCTGCTGTGTTAATTAACAGCATGATAAACTGAAAGTAATTACTTTTCTGAGAAGGAAACAATATTATACCACAGTACGAACACCCAGTCTTCTCTTTCACAAACCATTTTTGCAAGAAAATATACTATCCATGTGCTAAATCAAAATCTGCACCAGCAAACAAACAGGATGTATTCTGATACAGTAATAGCCTACTCCACCTCCTCCTGCTTTTTTCCTGCACTGTCCCCATTAGCCTTCAGCACATCTACTACAATGTACCATGTTCAAACAACGTTTACATGTAAGGATCAATTTTGTTGTTGCTCAGTCGCACAGTCGAGTCCGACTCTTCGCGACCCCATGGATCAATAGGCAAGCCCTAAGTATGTCTGTAAAAACCAATACAGAAAGTATGCACATTAGTATCACTATATGCCAAATGCTTTTGACTTAACTTTTTAGGGCATACACTAACACACACAAGGCCCAAATGAGCAATCATATCCAAGCAGGGTGTATTAAAAATTGGTATCTGTTCTCTAAACAACCCAGACTCACTTGTCCTTTCCTTTGCAATTATGCAAAGTAAGGTTTCATATCAGCCCCCTAAAGCTGAAACTCTTCTTTCTTAATAATAATAATAAGAAGAAGAAGAAGAAGAAGAACAATGAAGAATGACTGCTAAAATAAATCAAATTCACTTCCCACAGTTCGTGCACAAAATGCATAAAGTTAGCCTAGCCTAATTTACAAGACCAGGAGAGATTAATGCTCCCTGTTCTTTAACTGTGGCTCTGGGATCACACATTCCATCTTCTAGTCCTTCTTACACTGGACATATGCTCTTTCATGCACTCACCCCTCTGACCTTCACCTTCTCTTAATACTTCAGCAATAATATTTCTCATGGTTAGCAGCAGCAGTATTCACACTTAATTAGGATTTTTAAGTAACTTTAATCTCTGATTTCAAATCCTGTTTAAGAGTTGGCATTAAATATTATCCAAGATTAAGCCTGCCAGGAATTCTTGCTGAGAAGGGATGGAGCACACAATCCCACACAGTGTGTTGTATTTTGCAAACCCCAGAGGAGTGTTTTGAGAATAAGACACTATGCTGGATTCCTTCAAAGAAAGGGGGGATAATATACCAGTTCTAAAGTAGCATAGCCTTCATATCACTGTTTTAATAAAGCAAGCAAAACCCCAAATTAGTCAACAGCCAAAGAATCATGAAACTACTTCTGTCAGCCCAAGAGGGCTTTAGAATTAGTGTGCTCAAACTGAGAAACTTTCAGAGATTCCATGGGAGTCAGCTGTCTAAAGGGGGGGGGGGGGGAACAAGCCTCTATTCCAGAGATGTTGAACTCATTTGTTACGAGGGCTGAACCTGACGTAAATGTTACTTTGTCGGGCCAGGCCATGTATGCCATAAAATGTGCTAAGTACTGGAGAATCAACTTTCTAAATGACACAGGCAAATCCAATTAACAATATAATATTTAATTCCACTGAGCTGTGTTTGGAGGAGGTATGAGGGGGAAAACACCACGCCGCCTCTTTCTTAGCCTTCACTGCCATTCCCCCCACCACACTATTTTACCTCAGTCTCATAGTCTCACCCCCTAGCAATTTCCTTTCTATTTTTTGACAGCATTGACCACACACAAACCTCACTGTGTGTGCCCGCTCCCCCCTCCCAAGCAGCCTCCTGCCTTCCCTCCCTGGCACCAGTTGCTCTCAGGCCAGATAAGAGCCCTAGATGGGCCACTTCTGGCCCTCGGGCTGTATGTTTGACACCCTGCTCTATTCACTAGTTACCTATTCAGAAAAGTGAAGACACTTTTCCTACCTCACTGAACCTCTGTGGCTCTTGGTTTCCTAACAGTGGATTAATCATATGATGGAAGGTTCTATCCATAAAGCTTCCTATTAGACAGTCACAGAAGAGCTGATCTACACTTTTAGAAAAGAATTAAATTTATAAAATACAAGTGAAGAATTGTATGACTCAATACTCCTAACGTGAAAGAATTCACTGCCTGTGAAAAGCTAGCTGGTTCTAGCCTAGCTTTCCCCTGCTGTGCTAACACTAAGCAACATGTATATGATGCTTTGAGGTATGCTTGATAACACATAATAACGTTACCATAATATTATTCTCATATTTCAGGTGGTGTTGAGAGAACCAGAGGCTTGTCTAAGGCCACACCGTAACTTTATGGAAGAGCTGGAACAGAGAGACCCCATCACTAACAGCTCAGTTTCTTAGCTGTTACCATTTGCACAGTGGGAAACATTTAAATTTGTCATGCACCACATGCATGCTAATGTGGTGCAGTCCCAAAAGACTCTTGTCCCACGACTTTTCTAGGTGAGTAGATCAGCCCAATCAGGAAACAGTTATCAGGCACCCACGGGCCAGAACCAGCAACAGGCCTGTGGCTCTTACCTGGCCTATGAGCAACCAGTCATTACCTTTATTGCCAGACTAGTCGCAAGGCCCGCTGCAGGAAGAGATGCAACAGGCCCTAGAGAGAGGCAGCTGAAGGGGGCCCCCCATGGTTTGGCAAGGAGAGCACCACGCCCCCTGGCCACGAGGGATGCACCATACCAGGCACTGTAGTGACAATGAGGGATGGAGTGCTGGTGGGGCCTGGGGGCAAGGCAGTCGCTGCGGGTGCAGTGGTGCCGTGACCCGTCGCTGGGCGCAGAGGGCGAGCAAGGTGCCACTGCCACCTCCTCACCGCCGTGGCTCCGTCGGTGCAGCGGGGGGCAAATGAGGGAGGCCCTCTTGGGCTCGTGGCCCAAGCAAGCCGGTGCTGTTTCCCGTTGGCGGCGGTGGCAACAGGATCCGCCTCACAGGCTAGCCAGGCGCATTGTTCCTGGGCCGCGGGAAGACTGGTGGCGGCATGAGGACTCTCCACTCAGCATACTTGGCTGGCCGCCGGCCATGAGAGGAATGAGGGCTGGGCCCGCACTGTGGACCCCCTGGCGAGCTGCTCGGCTCGAGGGGTAGCGGAAGGGGTTGGCACAGTCTCCGTGGGTGGCCAGACGGCAGCAGCGTCAGGGCCACCTCGAACAGCCCGCGGGGCGCCGGTCCCTGTACGGGTGTAGGCTGGGTGGCGAGGCGGTGGGCATCAGAGGCGTTGAGCTGCTGGAACATCCATCCCACCCAACAGCTCCCTAGAGACTGAGGGCAAGTTGCTACCTGGCAGGTCTGTGGGCGGGACAGAGGCGACGGAGGGAGGCAATGCAGGGAGGGGAATGGCCCCCCTCCTGAGCAACAGACCCGGGACCCAATGGCTGGGGAGGCGTGTGGAACCTCTCACACCAAAATGCTTTCATATATAAGGAGAGATGACAGAGGTTGCTCCTTATGTCCCTGTATACTGTCCCAGTGTTAATAAGTAATGGGCAGTGGAAGAGGGAGGGAGATACTTTGAAGAAATATGGTAAGAGTGTTAATGTTTAAAGCATGTTTGCATTTTGAGTAAAAAATATTGTTAATTGGGTTTGCCTGTGTCCTTTATACAATTGGATCTCCGGTGCCTGGCCTTTCATTTTATGGTACACATGACCCAGACTATCAAAGAGACATTTCTGTCAGATCCAGCCCTCATAACAACTGAGTTTGACACCTCTGAAATGGTCTCTCACAGGACATCTTCCTTCACTTGTACTTTCAGAAATACCTAGAAACTTCCTGTACATTGCTGTAAGTACCACCTAACAGAATGAGACAAAATAAATTTCACAAATGGGGAAACAGTCACAAAAAGACTGGTTAGCTGCTCAGCTTGTTTCTCTTGACTGCAAAATAAGAACTAAGTCAGGTATATTTTTAATAATGACACATACTAGTTGCTGTAGATTTTCCGGGTTGTGTGGCCGTGGTCTTGGCATTGTAGAACCTGACGTTTCTACCATGCCAAGACCACGGCCACACAACCCGGAAAATCTACAGCAACTAGTGAACTCTGGCCATGAAAGCCTTCGACAACATAATGACACATTTTAGTTAACACATGGTGTAGTACAGCCATTCTATTTTATATTAGAAAGATGAGTGAAAAATGCATGCAAAACACACAGAAAAGTCCTAGTTAAAGCCTTGCTTATCTATTCCTACTTACTTTGATCAGCATAGTTTTTTGCTTTCAGTTCAAGTTGCCGAGTTTGTGACTCTAAAGCTTCAACTTTTATCTGCAGGTCCTTCTTTTCTTGTTCTTGAGAATCTTCAAATTCAATAAATTTCTGAAGAGTATAAAAATGTAAAACACAGTTAAATAGGCCTGTGAACATGTACAAATGCATTTTATCTTCACAAAATGTTCCAAATGAACCCATCTATATTTGTAACAATGCACAGAGGTCACAGTACATTTTAGCTCTCAGATCAACAGTGTCTCCATGCCACCACACAACATGGGAGACAACCCAAACTAAGCTATTAAGTATTCTATCTTGGTTTATAAAAATTTTAGTTCATTAACCAGTTTGTTCTGAGCTATCTTTAGGGTCCCATTAGGACTAAAAAGGTAGGACATAGAGAGACAAAATAAATCCTCCTGTTTCCTTACATGTGTCACCCTAGATTAGCTAGCAACTCAGACTATCACACTTTAAGTCTCCAAAGTAACTTTAATCAGTGGTTACTGATCTAATTTTGATTCCACATGTAATATTTTATGAAAATACTATAGCAGTATCAATCCAGAATCATTCTTGCATGAACAGAAAGACATATCCATCCAAACAAGGGAAGCAATTTCCACTAATTTCCCTTTCCCATCAGCACCACCAATTTCCAAGGATCCCAGGGGGGGGGGGGGGGGAGTTAGAGGGCTGCAACATGAGGGAGATGGGAAATATTCATCCTGAAAGCAGATCTCTGCTTGTGGTTCTTTGGATCCAGTTCACCATATGTATTAAAATCAGTGTATGCTCTCTCTAATGACAATCTCACCAAACACACTCCTTAGAAATGAGGATTTCTAAAATCCTGTGACACAGAATGGTTAAAAAAGGCCACTACATGTAATCTGAATTCTGTATAGAGGCGATTAATGGATCACCAAGGAGAAAGATACATATCTGAGTCATTTCTACACTACAGCTATATGCATATGCAGGGGTGGAAACTAGTCAGAGGGTCAACAATACTGATTTTAGTGACCAAAATTTTAAAAAACTGACCAAATACTGACCAAAAACAAAAAACTGACCAAATACTGACAAATTACTAAACAATTTAATGTCAGCCTACTGACAAGCTAGCATTTTAAATGTAAAACTCTAAATATAGAGACCAAGATGAGCCAACCACCAATATAGATCATCTGATTACAACACTAGTATTGGTTCTGCCTTCTGTAAGCATTCTTATAAGTACCCAATCACTTACTAGCACATTATGATAATGTAGAGTTTTATTATTTGTTTTAAGATTGTATATAATTTGTTACCTATATGTTTAATCTCTTTGTAAGCCACCCTGAGCCCACTCCAGTGGGGAGGGCGGGGTATAAATTGAATAAATAAAGTTATTCACGAATTCTTTCGTTTCTCAACAGTTTTCTGCACTGCATCCACAAGCATTTTTCCCCTTGTTCTCTTCTTCCATTGCTTTCTCAACTCCTCCTAGCATGAGCTGTGCCATGTTGAATTCCACAATATCCATCACCACTGCTTTCATTGTCTCATGTTTTAAGAGGTTAATTATGTTTCTATACTTTGTGTTACATTTCACCAAATCACTTTTACTCTTAGGAACAAAGTCCTTAAAAGTACTTCATAACTAAACTGAAAACAATCTGTCTTCTCACTGGGAAGTCATGATGTTTCCCCAAAAATGCAGCAATGAAAACAGAAAAACACAAACTGCATTCACAAAAATTAAAGAAATACTTACTTTACTGAGCAATTTTTTAAAAAACTGAAAAATTACTGACCAAGATGAAAAAAAATGACTTCTATTGATTTTACTGACCGTTTTCCACCCCTGCATATGCAAGATACTGAAATTATTTTCAGAAGCTGTCACATGTCTGGAAATCCTACTGTACAGAATTGCCTTTACTGAGTCAACTGGTGGTAAAAAAAAAATAGGGCAAACACATGGAAGCTTTAAAGCTACAAGGAACTGTTTACATCACAGGGCAAGAAGTTGTTGAATACTGCTTCAAAGTCTTCATTCTCTTACACTGAAAGACATCAGTAAGAATGAGCACTATTCCACCAAAAACAGTACACTGTATTCCAGGGGTCCCCAACCAAAAGGCCGCATGTGGCCCCCAAGCTCTTTCTGTGCAGCCCTCTAACCTGCTTGTTTGCTGCTATCACTCTAAAGGCCTTTTCCCTCAGACCACACTGTTCTTCCAGCGTCAAGAGACACCATCTACTGCTGTTCTTCCTGTCCCTTTCTTACAAAAACATTGTTTCTTCTGGTCTCCATTGTACCTACTGTCAGCCCCTTCTTGGTCTTATCCTCCATACTAGCATTTTGGCCATTCTGGGTGCTTTGCTGGCTAGGGGAACTGTACCACTCAGCTTTTTCACTCCCCCTCTCTATGCATTACCATGTTGAAGGCTATATATATGTCTGTAAAGAAGATAAAGCAGCTGTGTGAATGGGTACAAGAGATGTCTGGACTGCTTTTGCAAAAAAAGCAGGAAAAGGACAGGAAAAGGGATGGTGTTTTTTTTTTTAAAGGATAAAAAGTGTTTTGCATACTGAACATTTCTAGACGCTTCACCCATCAAGACTCCTCCAAGTGGCTTCCAAGGTTACTGGTGAGGTTGCTGCTGCACACAAAAGCATTCTTCCTTCTTCAGCAAGAGCTGATTGCTCTGACTTCTTGCCTTGATTGCTTCTGCCTCCCCTCCGCCACCCACTCCCGCCAGGAGTCTTCTCATGCATCTGTGACTGCAGGAGCCAGTCAGTGGCCCCTTGGGTTGAGAGGGAAGGAGTACTTCCTTAGTAGGGAAGCTTATTGGATTCCCCTTCCCACAACTTCCTCCAGCTAAGTTCCCCTCCCCCCGGCTGCCATTTTGCTTCTCAGGATTGAGGCTTGGCTGACAGGCAGCAATGTGTATGTGCACCCTGCATATAATTTGAAGCCAACTAAATGGCATATCCTCTGCTCCAGGTGGGAGGCTGCCCTTTAATTCGCTCTTTCTCCCTATCTGCCCTTTTTTGGAGGGGCCCCAATTTTTAAAGTATTAGCATGTGTAGATTTAGACCTCAAGGCAGTGTGTTTATTAATAAATATAATATTCAATGTATTTAGGATTGCAACTCTGTCATCTGGTTGGTCAGATTCATAATCCTTTTTTTTTTATTCTTCCTAGCCTTTGCATATGGCCCAATACCTCTGAGAACTGTAGTGGATAGGGAGGTATTGGTCTCTTCTCTTCTTTGAAATGAAAATCCCCAGCTAATATCAGCTAAAGTGGGGTAGATTTGATGGGAAAGGGAAGAGTTAGGCCCCTAAAATGATACTTCTCATATTTTTATCTATTCAAGGATTATACTGAAACTCTGCAACTGCTGCTCTGCTAGAAATTCTGTAAGATGTCTGCAAAAGAAACTACTGTTGATGACAAATGGACTACTGAGTATTTCTTTGTTTTTAAACAAGGATAAAGCCGTTTACCTGATATGTCTTGAAACTCTCAGGATTAAATGAGTACAATGTTAAAAGGCACTTTGAATCCTGTCACAAGAGCTACTCAATATATCAAGGAGAAGTGTGAGTGAACAAGATAAAGTCTCTTTAAAAAATAATGTTTTGCAGCAAAATAGTTTTAGAACTATTAGATGAGAGCAATGACATTATAGGCATTAGATGAGAGCAATGACATTATAGGCACTGCTCAACTACTACTTTTATCAGATTCCAACTTCAGAATTACAGAAGAGTTGTGTGCACTGCAGAATTTGAAAGGCACTACAGCTGCAGAAACTTATTCTTGAAGTTGTGTAAATCAGTAGAAAATCTGAGTTGGGATAAACTGAAAAGCATCACAACTGATGGTACAAGAAATATGGTGGGAAGTAAAACTGGTGTAGTTGTAAGAACCAATGAAGACATATTGAAATTAAATGGTACACTTCACATGCAAATTCACTACATCATCCATCAGCAAGCATTGAGTAGTAAGATTCTTCAGTGGGAAAGTGTGATGTGTATTGTATCCAGTGTTAATGTCATCAGGCATCATGACCTTACTCATCATCAGTTTCAAAAATTTTCTCTCAGAGATAGATGTAGAATATGGAGATGTATTGTACCATGCAGAAGTCAGATGGCTTAACAGAGGCAAAAGCCTCAAACATTTTTTCAGTCTTCATCATGAAGTTGAAGTCTTTCTCAAGGGGAAAGGAAAAGGTCAAGAAGTGCTTTCTGACCCTGGATGGATTTTTGATTTGGCTTTCTTGACTGATATCACAGAGCATCTGAACACATTGAATCTAAGGTTGCAGGGGAAAGGAAAGCTTGTGTATTCTGAATTGAAAACTTTTGAAGCAAAACTAAACATTTTTTGTGAAGCAAGTTAGTGAAGGTAACTTTTCAAACTTCTCACACTGCGATAGACTAAAATTTGAGAAGGATGAGAATTTACAATTCAATGTTGAAAGACATCAAAGCACTGAACCTATTGCAGGTAGAATTCCAGAACAGATTCACTTATTGCCATAAGCATGGAAAGGAAATAAGAATGTTTCAGAATCTATTTGAAGTAGCACCAGAAGATGCAAGTAACTTTTTCAGACTGAACTAATTGATCTGCAAGCCAGTGATCATCTCAGAGACATTTACAAAGAAAATAATGTGTTAGATTTCTATTCCAGTCTACCTGATAAATTTAAAGAAATGTGCTGCAGGCATTTCACAGTCTTTGGCACCACACACATCTGTGAACAAACTTTTTCCAAGATGAAAATTGTGAAATTAAAGTGTAGGTCAAGACTTACAGATGAACATTTACATGACATTTTAAGGATGACTGTCACAAACTTTGGACATTAATGCCTTGGCTAACAGAAAACAACCACAAAAATCACACTGACTAGGTAAGCATGTGTAGCTAGATAAAAATATTGTTCCAAAATGGATTGCGTTTAGGTTAACATTTCTTCATTGACCTCTGAATGTTTACTTTTGATCTAAATAGGTAGGTTAATAATTTTGTTACATTTTGGTTTAAGATGTGGTCCTCTTTAGACATTGGGCACTCTAATGCTGCCTCCA